GTATCGAGAGCACCTGGGCAGAGTCAGCCTGGACCACCACGGTGAATTCCCAGCCGACAAGATCGCGGGCCTCCAGAAGGTCCTGGGGGGCACGTTCAACGGGATCTGGCACGGCTACACGCTGAAGTTCCCTAGTCGCGCCAGCGGGAAGTCCAAAAGCAACCCCTACGTGAACGACGAGGCTACGAGCAAGGGCTTCTTGGACGCCTGGCGCAGATCTGGCTACGACGCCTACGAGATGGACCGAAAGCTGGAGCTCAACGCCGATTGGCAGGCCATCCGTGAAAGACACATCAAGGGGACCTGTGGCAGGGGCTCCCACCAATCAAAGGGGTGGAGCTCCAGCTGTCAGCATCAATCCTGGGGCTCACGGGAAGGTTGGTCCTGGCACGGTGCAGGGCAGTCGTGGCACGACCATGACTGGCATGACGGAGGCAGGCAAGGCAGGAAACTTCGCGACGGTGCTGACCAGCGCTGACAACGCGACGGCGCGCAGACGCGGCAAACGCGGCCGCCCCCGGTGCAGACAAACACTCCTCCAGCTCCTCACTCCCTTCAGCGTCCCAGGCACAGTGTCTTCGTGGAGGCCCAAGATGCGCCCGAAACGCGCCCCCGCCTGGAGACAGTCTCGTGGCGACAGTTGTGAGAGCTGCAGATGACGCGCCCGCGTTTGGAGACGGGCCTCACAAAATGGGAGACTCAGGAGTTCGTTTAGGTACGTGCGGCCGTTAGCCGCAGCAGTATTCAAGGTGCCCCTGCCTCTCCGCTCCTCACGACCGGGTTTGGTTACAGCGCAGCGCCTGGCCCGCCCCCCGCCCTTGAGGATCAGGCTCCTGGCGCTGTCAACGCCTGGCGCGATGCCCTTGCTGGGGCGAGGCGCAGCGTGCCGTCACACGGCCTTGCCGTTTGCTCTAGCTGTGTTTACCTAGGCCTTCCCGGCACCTGGCCGCAGCTCGTCACAGCCCCTCGGCTGCAGGCCTCGTGATGATCGGTGATGGCCCCGACAGTGCGCCCGGTTTTGCCCCCCCCGCACGTGGGGACCAGGCTCCATGGCGCTGTCAATACCGGGCACCCTGGCGCCTGCTGGGGCGGGGCGCGGCGTGCCTCACGGCCTCGGCCGTTGATTGTAGTTGTTTTCGCCCTGGCCTTCGCTTGGGCCTGGCCACAGCCTGGCTCGGATTCCCTGGTGAACTGGCCTCGTTTTTGTGATGTCTTTTGATTCACGCGCCTCGTCGCGGGCTCTCGGCCTGAGGTTACCTCAGCCCTCAGCTGCCTACAGCACCGCTCATCTGTCCCTTGCGCCTGGTGGTTTTCATTTTGGCCCCGTTGAGCCTGGTGAGGCACCCTGGCGTTCAGGTGACGTGCGCGTTGACCAGCTCAGTGCTTGCACTTCCCTGGCCTCTGGTTTCCAGACATCGCCATAGTCTGGCCGTGTCTGCCGCTGCCGCCGGCATGGTGGGACGCAGCCCGACTGGATTGCTCAGGAGTGGTTCAGCCTTCTCGGTCAGCCATGTGTGTTCGTCCCTGTTGGCCTGCAGCCTAGCACGTTGGACTGTTTATGCAGCCCCGCGCTTCGCCACGCTTGTGGCGCGTCGTCCTCTAGCGCCTGGTGCGACAAGGTAAACTGAATGCTCTTCCCGGTGGCCCCGCCTCTGGATTGCCCGCACGCTGGCCGCCTGGCCTTCGGCAGCCTACGCAGCCTGCCTTCAGCCCCGGGGGCCCCCCAGCCTCCCTCGGCGGGAGCCTCGGCAACCGTGAGCGTCCGCTGGGCAATTAGGCCTCGCCCGTAGCCTGGTTTGACCTCTGACGCTGCGTGCCCCTCCGCCTGCGGTTCCGACGAACAAATCCCCACAAGCCTTTTTTTCAGACACGATCGGATGCGTTCTTGAGGCCTCTTGGAGGCTACCTGAGCCATGCTCGGCTAGAAGCCTCTTGCAGGATATCGTGAGCCCTGCTCAGTTATTGTGCGCCATCTTGAGGCTGTCTTCAGGCTTTCTGGAGGTCTGTCGGAGGATATCTTGAGCCATACTCGACCTCCTGGGACAATCTTGGGGTACGAGGAGGAGGAGGAGGAGGAGGAGGAGGAGGAGGAGGAGGAGGAGGAGGAGGAGGAGGAGGAGGAGGACGGGGAGGTGGAGGAGGAGGAGGAGGAGGAGGAGGAGGAGGAGGAGGAGGAGGAGGAGGAGGAGGAAGCGGAGGAGGAGGAGGGGAGGAGGCGGTAGGAGGAGGAGGAGGAGGAGGAGGAGGAGGAGGGAAAAAAAAAAAAAGGAAAAAAAAAACAAAAAAAAAAAAAAAAAAAAAAAAAAAAAAAGAAAAAAAAAAAAAAAAAAAAAAAAAAAAAAAAAAAAAAAAAAAAAAAAAAAAAAAAAAAAAAAAAAAAGAAGAGGGAGGAGGAGGAGTAGGAGGAGGCGGAGGAGGAGAAGAGGAGGAGGATGGAGGGAGGAGGAGGAGGAGGAGGAAAGATGAGGAGGTGAGGAGGAGGAGGAGGAGGAGGAGGAGGAGGAATGTAGCACGAGGAAGATGAAGAGGAGGAGGAGGGGGGGAACAGGAGGAAGAGGAGGAGGGAGCAGGAGGTAGGAAAGGAGGAGGGAAGAAACGGACGATAACAAGGAGGATGGGGAATCGGGCTTTGGAGATATGTTGTTGTGAGAGGTTCGTGAAGGACGGCTGAGGCCATCTTAGGGGCTCTTTTGGGGTCCCTCTGGGGCCTCTCGGGACACTCTTGGGGCCCTCTTAGGGCTCATTGGATGGGTCTGGGAAGCCTCTTGGCCCTCATAGCTCGAAAAGAAAGGGGGACACCGAGGTCCTCTCCTCGGAGACTCAAACATGGCGTCTTGGGGCCCTGTGGGGCCGCTCTTGGGCGTCTCTTGGGCACTCTTGGGGCCGTCTTGGGGCGCGCTTGAGCCCCTCTTGGGGCTCTCTTGGTCCATCTTGGGGCCACCTTGAGGCCTCACAAGCCAATCGGAAGCGAAAAGACGATAAGGCAAACAACAGTGACCGTCCGTAGGTTTTTGACGAATGTTGGCCTCTTGGAGGGTGCCCAGGAAGGCTCGAAGGGCACTTGGAACCGTCTTGGGGCTGTCTTGGGGCCCCTCGGAGGTATGTGGGAGGCTATATTGAACCATTTTTGGCTACGTTGAGCCATCTTGGAAGCCGTCGTGGGCTGCCGAGGGCTCTCTCGCAGACATCTTGGGCTTATCTTGGAACTCTAGGCCCCCCCCCTCCCAGGCCCAGGGGAGGGGGTAGGGGAAGGTCCCCCGCGCAGGGGAAGGAGGGGCAGAGACGACACAACTCGTCAAACCACTCACGCCCCAGTGGGCCTTCTGGGCAGGCCCGACCCCTCTCCCTTCCCCCCACAGGCTCGCCGCCGAGAGGCCGACGGCGGCGGCGGCGGCGTCGGCAGCGGCGGAAGAGGCGCCCGGAGGCCCATGTGCGCCAGCGCGGGCGCTCCGGGTCGTGGAGCGTTGGGCGAAGCATGGAGGAGGAGGAGAAGGAGGAGGAGGAGGAGGAGGAGGAGGAGGAGGAGGAGCAGGAGGAGGAGGCGGAGGAGAGACGAGGAGCAGGAGGAGGAGGAGGAGGAGGAGGAGGAAGGAGGAGGAGGAGTGGAGGAGGAGGAGGAGGGGAGGAGGATGGAGGAGGAGAGAGGAGAGGAGGAGAGGAGAGGAGGAGGAGTAGGAGGAGGAGGTCCACGCCCGACGCAGCCGACGCCGGGCGGTGGCCTGGCCTCGACCCGGCATGGCGCCCGCCAAAACGCTTCCGCCGCGGGGCCCCGCTCTGGCCCGCCTGCGCTCGGCCTCGCGCAGCCGCCGCAGCCTCTGGAGCTCCCCCCTGGGTAGCCCGACGTGGCTCGTAAGCGAACGGCGGGCCCAGCATCCGCGGCCTCGCGGGCCGGGCCCCTGTGCCGCGACCCCGCGGATGCGGGGCATGTTGTTCGGGGATGCCCCGCGCCGAAGGCACCCGTGCGACCGCGCACCATCGGGATCGCACCCCTGGGGGTCCAGACCGCGAGGGCGCGGTTAGGTATATGTTCGCCGCTCGTGACTCATCAGACGTCAGGGGCAAAGTTAGGGGGGACAGGCTCAAGGGGGCATGCATCGACCCCCAGTCGCCCACTGATCACCGACAGTGGACCCGATAGCCCACACCGCCCAGGAGCGTGCGGATTCGCTATCGCGGGCCTATCGCCGATCTATCGGCGATGGATCGC